TGTGCCATTTAGCATGCGTTAATTTAAAATCTTCTTATAAATAACTGCATTGTTTCTTTGCTGATAACCAAACTGTTCAAAGACGACTGCCTAGTAGCGAATTCTCTTGAAAAGTGACAAAATTTGGCATCATGGTGTTATCAAGTAACTACGGCAAAGGGTTTTAGCCCCAAGGGCATTCATGCTGACATGGTTACTACATTAGTGATGACTCTCCAGCTTTATAAACAATGCAAAGGTGGGCAGCTGATTTTCGGCGGGGACGGGATAGTCTTGAAGAAGACCCACCATCTGGACCTCTTGCAACGAGGAAAACATTGATCCTGTTCACCACATAGTGATGGATGACAGGAGATTGACTATAAATCAAGCATCTATGTGTACACTGTAACAGCAGCAAGAAAACTGTCGCAATCAATTATAAACTTCGATCACAATATTTCCATCTTTAAGAAGTGTTACAAACCTAAAGATTTGTTATGGCGAAAGTACGGATAGTTGTTGACTTACCCTTGTATATATTGTACACATTATGATTTAACCGATTTGTTGAAAGTAATTGTTGTAATTTGAATGTGTGAGGTCCATAAGATTTGATTTCCCTTTATTGAGATACATTTACTATAAAATAACTGAATTAATTGTATATATTTTGATACATAATTATAGTTATATAATTAATGAATGAATGAAATTCGAAAGGAAAAAATAAGATAATATACTTCACCAGATGTTCTAATTTCGTCGGAAAAAGATTAATTTATTTCTAGTTTCGCATAGTTTCCTCCTGTGGTCGAAGAGTATATCGACCTTGAGCGGTGTTATAAAACGCAACATTAATAAAGTGTTATTATAGGTAGTTATAAAATAATTATAGTGAAAATGTGTCATCTCCAAATTAGAAAAATTATTGCAGAGCATTAATTACAGATGTGAAAGGGGAATAATTTTTTTCAGCGTGTTATAATTAAGAAGACGTGTAAGTTCAACGCTCCAAACCTCTATCAGTCTTCATGATCTTTGACATAAGATTTTCTTTTCAACGGTTTTGAGGCCAGGTTATAAAAATAGAATGTTAATTATGTCAATTTCGAAATCGATCTGATTCGGTACTCGCATCGCTTGCACAATCAGATTTGTCATACTGAGACGATTTAATGAGACTTGAATTAGCAACTTTGGTGTTGCTACTTTAACTATCTTATTATAGTTTGCGAAAAATCCAAGGAAAAAAAAAAACAAAAGAGAATTTCAAATAAACTATGATTTTCTACATAAGCTCCAGCAACTTTGCAATCACAAGAAATATCGTTTTACTTTAATTTGAATGGAAATAATCTAAGGTTGGACTGAATACGGCCTTGGGTTGATCTGTAAAAAAAAAAGTCTTCTCGCACTTTTGCTTTTCTTGTATGTGTTATGTAATTCATACAGAAAATACTGAACGTTACACATTGCAGGATTTACATCTTTTTAAATGGGAATTCAAAAACAATTTTCAGATGAGAATTGTTCGTTGCCCTATACCTAGAGCATTTCTTCCTAAAGTTAAGCAAATATTAAGAAACAGGAAAATTTCGTTAGAAACAAAGACAATTGCACTTATATATATGGCAGTGAATTCTGAACAATCTCCACACACGTAAAGAAGAAACCTGGCAAAAAAGAAATATAGCTCTACAGGACGACTCCTAGAATACCATGGACCGAACAGTCTACCAAAGACGGAGTTTTTGGAGAAAATGATGACAAAACGGACAAGTTGAAATTTTTAGGGAACATAATGAGGAAAGAGGACTTTAGAAGACATTTCTCGCCTCCCAATGTAAATTCGGATTACAGTGTCGCAATACTCAGATATTTAAAGTGCTGTAATAGTTTTTTTTATTTATTGTGGTATCTCCAATTTGCATATTGGGCTTTAAATTTTGCTAAAAACCATGATATTCACTCGTCTCCTCAAGGTGATATAGTGATTTTCCAAGCGTACCTTGGATCTGTCAAAAGGCCGAAAGTAATGGGCTACCCAGTGAAGCTCGAACTCATTACTCAGTCGTAATTGTTCTAGCTAGACAAGTTTGCTAACCATTACACCACCTCGAGGTGCCCCTCCCCCACGGTGATATAAGATACAAGATGAGTTGAATGTGGGGCACTAACTACCATGCATTCCGTCTTCTTTCAATTAACGTTTAGTTCTTTCTTTCACGACCTTCTCTAGCAGTAAACAATGATCCCTGTGTAAACAGAATGATTGATTGTGTGGACGTAATGTGTTCTGTTTATGAAAATATGCTAGTATTAATATATTACTGACACAGTGTGGCGAACGCGCTTCAGTACAGACGCAAAAGAGGCCCCGGGTTGTATGTCGACATGTCTGACAAACCCAGTTATATCCTGGTTTTCCTCCTTAGTAGGGGGACAGATTGACAGGTTCAGATATGGGTCTCTCTGCAACCTGTCTAGATTCAGATTTCTCTCAGTGTCTCTTGTCAATTAAAGCGACGGGAATACCAGCAGTCGACAAGGAAGTCGGTCCCATGGGTATTTTTATTCCTAAGGTTACTGTTCCTTCCAAGGCAGTGCTATTTTGTTACATCCCGTCTCATTTCTTTCCTCTGCCTATTACCTCCATAGTAGCTGGTAGAGCTATCCTTTAGGTATTTCCTCCTACCACAATACACCCTTGCCGGAGTTTACAACAGATTTGTATAATTTATTCACTGTTTCTTTTTTTAATTGGTAATTTATTCATTTAATTTCCGTCAGTTGAGTGAGTAACGATAACTTGTTAGCACATTATATCTCGTTCGCTTTCTCTTCTTTTCTCTGCTTCTATTTCTCGTTTCATCTACTGTATTTATGGTTTCTCGTTCGACTTAAAAGATTATTGCCTTTCTCCTGGCAGTTGTAAAATGCTGTACTGCTAATAAGATTTTCAGTGTTACTGTTGTGCACAAAAAAAGAAAAAAATACTATGTAATACAAGAAACTTCATCATCATAAATATTTCTATGCGGAATCACCGTGTGCTTACTCCCAAAATCTGAAAGAGTCCCCTTCATTCAGTTAGCCATATTTTAGAATTCAAAATTAGAGGAAGTTTTTCAATCTTAATAGTGCTATCAGGAATTTTAGCCTTTAGTATAGAAGGAAAATTGTAAGCTTGAAACCAGTTTTAAGTTTGGGTGGGTTCCAGCAGGCTATCTTACTCCTGACATACTGTTAATAATTTACGGGACTAATAACCCTGATCTCAAACGGGATGATGATATTTTATTTACAGCAACGTATCCCAGTTTGTCTGTTTTAAAATTAATGAACACAAAATTAATTCATTAGTAATAATAGAAATTAAACATTCTATGAAACATAATATGGATCCTTCACAATAAACTTAGTCTGGTTGCTCGAAAAGCAAAGAGACTGCTTGATTTAGAAATTAATTAATATTTGCCATTCTGATCGGATGCCAACGTGAATGTTACTGGAGGTAGTCTTCCTATATTACTATCCGCAAAACTGATTTAAAAATATTGGACAGAGATGGAAAAAGGAAAAGTAAGTTGGAAATATATTATGAACTTATATAACAAAAATATTTTATCCACCTGACAGTTTTTTTTTTTCTTTTCAAATCACTTATATTGTTATGGTTTTATTGTTATCCATATAATGCTATGGTTTTACTAATTCGACGCCTTCTTTTTTATTATATGGGACGCAACATTGAATTCTCGAGAATTACATGGATTGATTTCAGGAGGACGTCGCCAAACATTGAGTGTGTTCAAGTAACTTATATTTCCCATTCATGACTTCAGAAACACGAAATACTTAGTGAACATACGGCGGATTCTTAGGTAAAGATGTCTGAATTCCGACATGTCATTTATTGTCAATGTTTTTATAGGGTATCCAGGAAAGTTTGATTATTACTGCTGACAAGTGAATTCAATACGAATAACCAAGCTGGACATTACTCCATATTCAGAATCGTTAAAAGAGATGAATAAATGGTGATGGTTTACTCCTCTATCTCTAAGGCTTGCGACGATATCGGGAAGAAAACTCAAACATTTGCAAACAGGACGATTTCTCCACACTAAAGAGGTACAGAAAATAAATCTACGGCACACAAAATAATAATCAAATAAAAAAGCTTTGGGAAGGTGACATTCCTTGCAATGAAATCATAACATCCTTTCTTCCCAAGATTTCTCGGACAGCTAATTGTTTATTATGTTATATATTTGGTTACGAACCATATACAAAGAGGCGGGGCGAATTTGTAAGAAACTTCTAGGGTATTTTAATGTTAGTTTTAACATTAATCTTTCCGCCCCATACACGAAACATTCGGCATCCACTTGACTGATCAGTAGGATTGTCGGTTGAAAATTATAGATAATTTTCTCTAAACAGATTTTTAAGGAAATAAGAAATTTCAAGTCCACTATCATCGCTCTTTCTAATGATTTTCGTTTCAAACATTTTGTTTATGGTACTATAAACATTTTTTAAAAATAAATTCACCCCGAGCAAAGCGATAATGCCACTAAGGAGGAATGGCCTACTAGGAGTGAAAGACAATTAAAATACTTTAAAATTAATTGAAACTGCAATGCTAAACAGGAAACAAGCGTTAAACCTCTACTTCCGTTTAAAAGACAGGAGTTGTATGAACTGGACGATATGTAAACCCATGTATTCCTATTTTGATTGATTCTACGTTTTGTCATCACATTGCAGGTTATTTAAATCCAGGAAGTATTTTTTTTCAGATTGTAAAGATTTTATAAGGATTTTATATTGTAAGGATAATTAGTTACTGACAGGCCGTACAAATTACCTCATATCTGTGGCGAGAAGAAGCAGATTCATAAATTGACCAAGGGAATTAAAGCATATAATCAACCTAACAAGAATTAGAACTCGGTTATCCAATTTAAAATTCCAAACTGTTATCCATTATACACACGTACATCCAAGCTTAAAGCACATGGTATTCCCAAGCAATCACCCTTTTAGATACTGACCAGGCTCGACGTTACTCAACTTCGGTGATCTTAAGGGAACAGGTGCTTCAACGTGATGTGGCCGTAAGTCATCGGTAGTGTGGAAAGTCAACGTTTTGATTATACCAATATTTTCTCTTCTACGCACATGTTACCCATTTTTCTTGTCACTCTTGGAACTGTTAAAACAACGTGGATTTATTTTTAATTGATAAACCTATTTATGTTCTTGTAGCGACAGACAGTAAGATCTGATGATGAAATGTTTTTATTTAGATTAGAGGATTTGTTTATTGGAATGCTTCTTAATCATCACATAAAACGACTGAATATAGTTTATAGTTTAGAAATTTCTGAACGAGACCTGTATGTACTGCATGTGGGAGTCTAAATCTAACAAGACTAATTAAGAACATGACTTTTAGGAGGCCTTAAATGCGCATGCTGAGTTAGATGTTCGAAACGAGAGCTGATCCAGGTTTACTAATTTTTATACCTTCCAGACATGTATAAAATATTTACATTAATTAGAAATACATGACATCGTTTTTGACACAATGATTCTTCAAACTATTCACGACGTCACAACATTAAATTTGAAGGATACCGATAAAGAAAAACACAAGAGACTGAGATGATCAGTGATTTATAGAAGGAAAAGGAACAATTATCTGCACTCTAAAGCTATGTCATGAGGAAAGTGCGGATAAGTTTTAACTTACCCTCGTAGTTTAAATTGAATAATGTGATTTGTTATTCCAACTCTCTTTATGAAACAGAAAAATAGTAATTTTATTGAATTCTATCATTCTAGGAAAGGATGAATATCTAATGACTAAAACAATGATGTTTTCCAAACAAACGATATGTCACAAAAAAGGCTGACTAAAATATGATTTTGTTTGAATTTTCAATTTAAAAAAAAAAACAAAATGGGTTTGTCCAACATACTGCCAGTCAACCGAATCGATGTAGGATTTGAAAATTTGTCTCGCGCAAGGACAAGACTGTAACCTGCACAAATTTTAAATAAACTATCCTATTTGAATTTGTTTGGCAACAATTAAATAAAAAAAAGAATTTTAAACGAACATAGCGAAGAAAAGAACATGATTTATTTACCAAAAAAAAAAAGTTAAATAAAAGAAATACAATACAATTTTCTTGACTGGCTTAAAAAGTCTAAGACAAAAGATACGTGATTTCGTATGAACGGAGTATATTTTTGACTGAAGTAATAAAAAAAGCGGTAATGACAGAATGATCTAAGAAATTTGAAGAAAAAGACAAGACAAGTAAACTTGAGGTGATAAAGAACAACTAAATATAAAAACTGAAAGATATAGTTTAACTTAATTATGTCCACTTAATCTCAAAAAATTGTTAAGGTCACACACTTTGCATCCTGTATCTGAACTAACCAAGCCACTAGCAGTCAGTAATTCTTACAATAAACAATAATGGAATTACTCTTGTGTCTCTTTCATAATATATCTTGAAATATTAATTTGTTGATTGTTTTGGGTTGTTTAAGAAGTTGAAATGAAAATTAAAGAAAATATGTGTTTATTCAATCGTTCGCGGTCCATTCAGTTATTTATATTTGGTCCAAGTAGCTCAACCATCGAAAGCAAGAAACGTGGCCATTTTCAAAGACACTGTAATGATGATAAGACGTTCGTCAGAAGATGATCATTGCCAATTCTACTGACGATGGAAACTCAGTATTCAGAATCGCTTTTCATCGATTCACTTATTCAATCACAATTCCTGCATCAATCCAGAAGAGATTATCACCTAGCAGGCGCTGAATTTCATCCAGTCGTAATGAACGAATACACTCTCAATAAACCTCTTTGCTTTGAACTTCTGTAGGGACTCAGTTACATCCAAGACCTCACGTGGAACTTGTATATACAATTTATTGTCAATGATGCTGAAAAAATGATCAGCTCCTTGTACATCTCCAGCTTACTGTCACATCATTTTGAAACACCGATTTTCGTACGATCACTGTAGCTAAGTAATGTTGAGCTTAATCAGTACCTAGGTGGCTGACTGCTTGGGAATACAAGATGCTGTAATCCTGAATATGTAGATGGCATAATTGATAATAGTTGGGAATTGTTAATCGGAGAGCCGAGTTCCAATTCCACTTGGGTTCGTTATATTCACTTATACACGAATGCCCTTGAGAAAAATCTGAATCCACCTCTTCTCCCCAGCTATGGGTTAATTCCTAAGATTTGTATCACTAAATCATTATCTAAAAACATTTTACAATCTAAAAATACGTTTGTTTTTAAATAACCTGCAAATGTATTATAAACCGTAGAAAATGAACCAGTCAAATTTATATGTCCAGAAGGTAGCTAAATACTTTTTGTGCGCCCTTACAAGTTTCAAACTAGACAAAAACTAGTGTATTACTGTCATATATGGGCTCACTTCCAAACTTGACATAGTTTATTTACGGAACAATGACTGCTGAATGTTTCCTTCTAAGTAAACGGCTGGTACTACCAATGGAGTTGTGCATATTTATTAGATTTTAATCTAAACGCGATGGAGAGGGAGTTATAAAGAGTAACTAGACTAGCACTGGCTGTTTGGACGTTGAATACTGATTGAAAGGAAAACGCGAATATTAATATTGAAGGGTTTGTTTTGGCGGAATAACTTCGTCGTATATGGCAAGACAATAACTTTGGAAATTTTATAGGTCTGCTTCTCTTACGCTGTAAAGAGTTTAGCAGGTCGACGTGTAGAATTCTGTTAAAAGTAAACATATATAACCCCGCATTAAACGAACATAAACGCGTGACGATATGAAATGGCCTTAAAACAAAACAAAAAAAAACCCTTAAAAATAGTTTTTTTAAAAAATCACCAGAACGCTACATTTTATTACGACTTTGAGCTGATAAATACACGTCATGTTAATACAAATTATGTTGCCATGAAACCACTTTTGCTGAGGTACATTGACCGAAGATGAATATAGTTCATTCAATCGCACAAATTAACGGAAATAATATAAAAAATATATATATTCGAAAAATATACAGGGTTTAAAGGAAATAAATATGTTATAAATTTAATAGAGAAAGGGATTACGTTTTTATACAGGGGGCTGAAGAAGTAGGTATACGGTAAGTATTATAACTGTACAACTCGTATTATATGGATATGTTTGTATAATTAATACAATATAGTTTGTGCAGACGATTTTCTTTACTGTATACCTATACTTTGACTTCCCATATCTAGATGTAAGGTAAGATCTTGCGGTTTCTAAATCAATTTTATCATGAAGAAACCGAAAGAATTTTCCTTCCATTCAAATATTTCCTGGAAGTTTAAATCAGTAGATAGTTCCTTTGTTACAAACCCAATTATTGGAAAAAATAATATATGACGGAAGCATGACACGGAGATATATATATATATATATATATATATATATATATCTATTTATATATATGTATAAATCTGTTTACAGAATTTATAAAAAGAATTTATGAAAAGTGTATGTGGATTTTGTTTGATTTTCCAATATCTACATATGAGGTGAATATGAGTGAAATTCTTAGTTTGAATATATTATATATATATATATATACCTTTGTAATGCCATAATTTTTAGAATATTTTAATCCAGTACTCGAGTGAAATCAGATCTTATTCTCCGGAAATGACCGATATGCACCTGAAATTATCAATATGCACCTGATGAATCCGGACGGCAGAAAAGTCATAACAACAACCACCACCCCAGAAATAAAGACAATAGTTTGAATGTAAATAACGCTTATTTCAAGGCAGATATTGAGGAATATGTAATGAAATAACTATACTTATGCGTACATCATATATATATATATATATTTTTTTTTTTTTTTCAAGCAATTTACTTTAGTAAATAACTATTATTTATTTTTTGCGGGATTTGAAAGTGATATATTTTGTTAGTTATATGACAAAAAAAGAAATGATTTTATACTTTGTGCAAAAACACACACACACACACACACATATATATATATATATATATATATATCAGCCACAGACTGTTTCGCTGTATCACAGCTCTTCGGTATGTCTAAACGTCCGATCGAAACACAACTGACTTCAAATCACTCAGATATCTTACAACTAGGCCATCGTCGCACGACAGAAAAGAAGGGAATTTTAATGTTTTTCTCTATACGAAATATGCCAGCGGTTCATAGAACTCTCTCTCTCTCTCTATATATATATATATAATGTAAAATGAATGCCTTCTATTATATAGAATGAAGTATGATTCAGAATATCAATATAAAGTTATATTGGAGTTGAAAAAATGCTTTCGAGAATAAAATTAGCCTGGGTGCCATCGTCTGTCTCGGTAAGGAAGTAATGATGATTTGTGTATCACTTACTGTTTAGATATTACAAAGGAAAACCGAACTGAAATATATTCATCACCTATTGAAGGCGTGATATGCCAAAGATAAATATTTCGATATGAATAATGCAATGTGTGGAATGGACTGACTGGTGTAAATAAGATTATGTACGTATGTAAGATAAGAATATACATATATATATAAAATGATAGAAAACAAAACAGTCTATAGGAGCACACATTTTTCTGATATAGTGAAAAGAAAGAAAGAAAGAAAAAAAAGGGTCATTTTTCTGAGTATTGACACACCTAGATTCCGGGAAATACGATAAAATATGCATAATTATTTCATACATAGTAGATTATTAGACGTGTTACGATTATGTCAGTAAAAGTAGGTCACTTATTTGCGTATTCATAGTACTGGAAGCTTATTTGTTTTTCCAGAAAAGTTATATTACGAGAAGAACATAAGTTGTATTTTTGTAATATTTACTTACCTTTTAACATTTGCCACTATGGAATTTAATCATTAAACATATTCTTAAAAGTTACATTTCATTTTAAGGAACTCAAACTTATGTCAAATGTATAAGATTTCTCTAAATATTTATTCATTGCAAATTCCATGGTTGCTTCTGGCATTTATACTTTTTCATTTGCGGAATAAAGGCAGGCTCAGAATTATGAAGAGAAGTTACAATTTTGATCTTTTGACAGCTAACATGTATATCTGATAAACATGTCATGTTTAATAAAATAAAATCAACATTTTTTTTTATTGCGGCTGAGAATGAGAAGCAGAAAACATTTTTATTAACATTTATGCTCTTTGCTATTTTATATATAAAGAAAATTTAAATCTAAGAAAAATGATAAAGTCATACTTTTTTTTTCTAAGGCTAGAATCATCCAAGTTTACGAAGACATAATAATTCTGAACCAAAATCACATTTTACTAGCAAGATATCGAAAGAAATTTTTCACTTAATATTCGATGTACAGTGTAACCCGGATATAAGAGAATTGGCGGGACCGGAGAAGAAGTCTCTTATAGCCGGGTTTGGTCTATTTTGTTTAGGTAACACAGCCTCTAATTTGGGACCAGAGAAAATCTCTCTTATATCCGGGTTTCTCTGTATATGAATATCAAGCACTACTGCAATGGAATTGCATGTTATTAAATTGAAAAAAAAATGTTTCCTCATCGGGCTGTGTTTGTAGTGATGAATATATGTATTTACGGAAAATCAATATTTTACGTCTATAATATTTATTTTTAATGGTTACACCTGCTTGAGTTGACATTCAAATGTTTTATTTATTAAATATAAATAGTCTTAGATTGAGAAGCGTAATTAAAGTAAAATTAACATTCCATCAAGAATCGTAATCTGTAATCTTTTACTTTATTAGGGAAGTCACTTCAATAGGTGAAGTGCTTCATTACTACTTAGTCAATTTAAGGAATGTACTCTTTGGGCCGTCTTCGAAGTTATAACTGCTGGCTTCAGTTTTCTACTAGAAACGTAACCACAGAAATTATAATTAATATATTTTAGAGAAAGTGGGACATGATGGTCTCTCTGACCTAAGTGGTCATGGCACACTTCCGTTATAGAATTGGCTGCCTTGATCAAAAAAAGAATAATTTCGATTCCTGTCGGCACGTACAAATTTTTGTAGGACTTCTCAATCTATACCGAATGTTTTTTTTTTAATAGTGAAATTAAGAACAAACAAAAAGAAAGAGGGGTGTAAACTCAAACACGTGTAACGACTAAAAGTAACATTTATAATAATAGCAATGTTAGGATAAAAAAGTCCATTTAAAAATGACGCACACACATTTTATATATATATATATATATATGGTTGGATGGATTTCTCTGTATCATTGGAAACGGGAATTATGATTTTTGCTGTCTTTGAAACCCAGTAATTTTAAAAGTTTCTCCAAAATTCGCTTGAGGATGAAATGGAACTAATGTCTTTAATTTATTTACAAAATTAAATTCGAAGCTTTCAGCTTCCATTTTTGAAACATGGTTAGAACTGTGTAGCGAAAAAACATATTTTAAATCTATTAATTTATAATATTAATGCTCTGTAAATGTACATTGAGCACTATTTTGTAAAAATAAAAATATCTAAAAAAACACCGGATTATATATCTTACTGTTCTTTATATATATATATATATATATATATGAAAACTCTAGTTCATCCGTATTACTCGGGACTCAAAAATATTGGCTGTTGAGTCAGACTTCTCCCGTCAAAAAAAAAAATCATGATTTCCCTTTGCGAAAAAGATGTGAACAGGTTTTAATATCCTTAATTCGAACATTATTTTATGTGAATACACTTGTTTAGTAGAAGCCCGTTTGTATTTTTAGAAATAGTCTGCATTCAAGAGACTTAATAGATTATGAATAATTCACACTGCATGCATAAAACGAACTGTCGACTGAAACTTATGTGTTCACTAAAACATGACGTTTATAGTAATAAGAAATAACGTCGGATTAAAAATAAAATACATTAATTCTGAGAAATTCGACTTTAGTCGGGTAATCCTTACAAGAACCCACCACCGTCTGGCACAAATCTCGCTCTCCCATTCAAAGCACCCTGACCTAGACCTAGCTTTGGCAAATTACAATTTTTAATATAACCTTGATTCATATGCCATAAATAAAACAAATCAACATGTATGTCATTTAAAGTCAGAAGTTTTTTAGATTCTATGAATTCTGCGAGATAATAATGATTTACAAGCCCTCTTAATTAATCCATACCTGGAGAATGAAAAGAGGCGTATTTATACATTTACCAAGTTATTGAATACAAGGAACTCGGCCCTCGGAGACAGCTTTGTTCAACACCGCTAATTGCTACAAAACCAAAATCTCAATCTGAAACTAGAATCATATTCTTAAATAGCCTCGTCAGATCGATACTTTCATATGGATGTCGTTCACGTGCCAAATTGTTCAGATATATCTAAACTCTCAGCTGTATACAACTGCATTCTAAGATCAATGGTTAAAAATGGCTTTGAGCGAGTGAAGCCAGAAGGTTTTGGCAAAGGTCATCCTTATTTGAAAATTGTGGACTGGCGTTGCAGAATCTTTTATTAAAACGGCTAATACTACTAATATTCTCTCTCTCTCTCTCTATCTATATATATATATATATATATATATATATATATATATATATATATAGGCCATATTTTATAAGAATGCAACTATATATCAGACCTGATATTGTAATTATGCGATTTTAAATTAAGGCAAGTGAATGAGGAAATTGTATAGTTTCACCACGACATCAATGAGTTTATGGACGTAGAGAAGACCCATTTCGCAATTCTGATTGAGGACTTCAAGGCATATATATATATATATATATATATAAGGAAAATATGGGAAATATATGGAAGGAATATTTGGAATTAGAAGTTAATTTCTATTGCGTCTCGTTCAATTTTCTCCCTGAATGATGCAAAATGAACATCACGTTTCGATTTTTAAAAGCTAAGAAACATTAATGGTGTTTGGAATAAAATATTTGCGGCGGTAAATGGCCGACAAACATAGTAATGTTAAATATTTAATCGTTATAAAAAGTTAATATATGACGCGATCACGAAATTTTAGCTTTGCGCTGTTAAATTTTAATTTAAAATCGGAATAAACTTTTTTCAAAAAGAAAATATTGTCAAACATCAAAGAGAACCTTAGTGTATTTCCTACAGAAATCGAGATCCCAGGCTTCGTGACATACTGAAAATAACACAAAAGAAAAGAATATATAAATACTATTCAAAATAAAACGGAACGTCTACCCAAATACGGGTAACCTCTAAAAAGTAATGAAATTATTTGTCCTTGCAAAATATTCCTTGTTGAAATCGTACTGGAAAGCAAAACGGAAACTCATACTAAACATCAGGATGAGGCATTTGAAATTTCTGGAGCTTGCAAAATTTGAAACTTACTGGACAGGTTGAGGGAAAGAAGAAAGCAACGCATAACATACTTTATGAGCTTGATGGAAGAACAGGGTTTGTGATAAATAGCAAAAAGACAATATTTATTAAGAGCTATAAGGGACAGGAAGATGACGATGACCATGATCGCCTACGCCCTGAAGGAACAAGGCATATATATATATAAAGAAATAATCATACATAGAATCAATCAGCAATATTAAGTGATTTCGCCATTAATTGCATTAATATTGCTGATTGATTCTATGTATGATTATTTCTTTATATATAAAATATATGCTGCCTAATTTAATGTTTTATATATATATATATATATATATATATATATATACACACACATCATATTTGTTTTTCTTATCAATTGGGAGCTATTTAAAGCAATAATTTCTTTGAAATTAGGAAACTGGACAAAACGCAGTGATATAATAATTGCTTTATGTGATTTGATTATGATGTATAGATTATACCATAATTATCTCTTCAAGTCGAAAGCCATTCAATCTTTATTTTAAACAAAAATATATTTTAAACTTCAAGCGCTAAAAATTTACAATAAAAGTAAAATGTGAAATAGATAGGAATATTTACTGGGTGTTTTGTTTTGAACATTTGTTCAAAATGTTAAACGTATGATAACCCTCATTTGGATATATGTAATGCCTGTCTCTGGCAAATTAAATATTTTAAATTGTTATAGGATTTTTTTTTGCTGTTTATTAACCATTTGTAGGTCATTTAAAGACAGAAAATATATTTAGATTTTAACAACTGTTTTTAAAAAAATAATTATTTACTGATATATGTTCTACTTTTTCAACCCATAACTGCGGGGAGGAAAAATAGAGAATTTCTTCCTTCCCGGAGTCTATTTGCGCGTAAACGAATCTAACGGGTATTTGAACTTCGCTCTCCAATTTCCAATTCCAAGCCATAATCGATTACACCACACGCACATCCAGCACCTGGAATTCCTAAGTGTTTACCCATCTAGGTACTGACTCGGCTCAACGTTTCTTAACTTCAGTGATTAGATGAGAACCGCTGTTTCAATGCGACATGAGTGTAAGTCTGTTATTCTTTTATGATCTCTGTCTCTGCAGAACATGGGCGATCATGGCTCTCCACACCAACCTATACCTTGTTTCTCTCAAAAGGAAGACAAATATTATCACTCTCAGTCGATGTACATTAGGTAGATTACTGAAGATTTCCCTCTTTCCCTTTTGCTTCAAGATACCTTGAGAGTGTCACTTCTCGAAGTTCTCTTCACATTTTATTCGTCCGAATAATTTAAACTCACTCTTTCTGATTTTGTATACGAGTTTCCGTTTATTCTTAAAGCTTCCTCGTTGCTTTCATGTTCTGGCAATAGCATTGACGAAATCCCTCTTATAGAATCACATATATGTTGCTTCAGTACTCTTTATACTCTCCAGCACTCATTGATATATAAGAGGTCTATATATATATTCACAACATTATTTTGATTGTTTCAATTGAAACTATCAAATCTCTTGTTTACCTTTTTGAATGCATCTTTTGCTATTCTATTTGGCCAACATACAATCATAACTGTTTCGGGTAAGCAACAGACCTCGCTCTGAGTGTGTGTGCATATATATATATATGGTTGGATAGATGTGAGTTTGTCTGACGATCGCTAAAGCGTGAAACCCAGGGTCACAAACTCACATCTATCCAACCAATGTTAGCTCTATCTCTGATATTGAGCGCTTTTTAATAAGTACCGCGCATATCATATATAAATAATTATACATATATATATTTATTTATATTTATATACACTTTTCACACATATATATATATATATATATATATATATATATATATATGTGTGTGTGTGAGAGGAAGAAAATTATAACTAAAATGAAAATTAGCTTTAAAATAATCATTAATATTACATTATTTGTTTAAAGAATTAATGTTCTTTGTGTTATTGGAATCATTTCATTTGAAACATGCCACAGCGCCATTCAACTGTATTATCCAGCATGAAACAGAAGAATATCTTTCTTTAGAAGACAGGAAGCAAATAAAACAATAAAAAACTCAGAATCATTGTAGCAGTAATATATAAATAAGATTAAGTTATTTACAAACGAAGTACGCTCTAGTAAACATCAAAGTATTCAAAGACTATTTTACATGGTCGGGTCCACTTTTATGGGTTCCTAGCTAATCGTTATTGTATTTTATAGTTTAAAGAAATTTGTCGGAAAATCCTAAATCAGAATTTAAATATAGTTCTGATTGAACGAATATTTCATAATATAGCTAATATTTTGCGGGATATGCACATTACTGTGTAGCAATATTTGTTAATATTATTGAACGGGTAGAAAAATCCATAAAGATATGTTCTTTAATTATTTAAACTTCTTCAGAGTAGTCTCTTAATGCAGTAGTATGAATTCAAGCATCAACAGAAGATGAAGAAAAATATATAATTATGTCAGAACATATACGCGAGGCAATACTGTATTTTAAGATCAACACCGACAGTAGATAAATATAGATTAACGTTAACTGATAGCTTAGTTAAACAACATCAGCATATTAAATAGCAATGTAAAGAAAGCATGAGAACTAGTAACGAATCATTATCATTATTTCTTGGAATATTAATTCATAACAAAAGATACAAGTTAAGAAACAGCCTTAACTAAAAAAAAAATAGAACTGTCATAGCACGAAGCGAAAGGACTTGCATAAAGCTGGACAATTGCGAAATAACGATGGAGTTCTTAAGAAAATAGAGCGGGTTGAAAAACATTTAAAAAGCAAAGCTATATACGAGTATCGGCTGAAAAGGTTTGTAGGCTGACCAAGATATAAAGAAACGCACCAGTTGTTACATATGCATACATTTTAGTCCTTTCCAATTGGTGTGTCTACTTATACTTAGATTTTGGTCGCCCTATTAACTTTTCAGCCGATATTTATATATATATATATATATAAATGACAATTAATTGCAAAGCCTAAAAAAATTGATGTGTTTCTTTCTATTGGATATCAACGGACTAAAGTGATGAAGTAATTGTTGAAGACCTTAAAGAGGAATCGCGTTACAATTTTTCTCCACATTGTTTATAATCATCTTCCTCACACCCACATATTCTGGTGCGATGGATAAATTTTCGTCTAAATTACGCAAAACTAAAACTAAAACTGACATGTCATTTTAACAGTTATAATTAAAACAATTACACAAAAATATCTTGAAATACAAAAGAATAAATGTGTTCTATAGAATCGTCATTGGCTTCAACCCCAGCCTCCAGAGGTGTTCGGAATCTCCTGCTACACTTCTGGACGGTCGCCTTGTTTAATTTGATAAATACTGCCATAATCCTTGCATTCAGTTCATCTTTGGTGTTACAAGGAGTTTTGTTGGTCTATCGCTCAATTGCGCCACACATATGACACTAGGCAACAAAAAACACTTTTTAAGTTGTTTGTATTTTTCAAAATGATTTAGGACAATTTTTCACCACTGAATCTGAAAATGACATCCTTTTCTCTCAATCAGGTCATGTTTTGTGCTATGTTGAGTTTTTAAAAATGCGATCTTATGAATAAATCGATTATATTTTTGTGACATTATCGATTAAATTTTGTTAATATTTCTCATGCGAAAGTTTTAAGAGAAAAAATTGTTTTCTAACACAATTAATAAAATGTTGCAAACATCGATTACAATAAATTGAATATTATACATTGATAATTGTAAGTATATAGTAATTTCATGTTACGTCATCATAGTTTAAAATTCAGGGCTTGATATTTCATTTATTCAAACTCTTAGAATGATCAGCGGCAGAAATATCTCTCTTAATATTACAGTAGTAATTAGCCGTCATGACTGCATCTCAGATACCTGTTCTCTATCTCTTTCATGTCCTGATGAAATCTCTCCACCTGCTTGTCCTCAGTGATCCCAATTCTTAGGAAATTGATCCATATGTGAGAATAAATACTGCATTTTGATGATCATGTTGCATCTGAGGCTTCTGGAAACAGTCAGCGTATTGATGACAGGATCTTCAGAATTCCTAGCCTTGTGCTTTTTTTTACTAGATGCAACAGTTCGGCAAAGGACTGAGAAGCTGAGGTTGTGAATGAGATCATTTAGTTCCTTTTGAGAAAAAATGATGTGAAGCATCATTGACAAAAACCAATTCTTTTTCTTCTTCTTGAACACTGGCGAAATATTTCTCACTAATGTCAGGAAGTTCTTCAAATCGAGGTATTGAAATTTCATCACAATGAGCTACAGGACGACGTGCTGATTGAAGATCAGGATACTTGAGGCGGCTCCAGTTCTTCCTATTAATCCTAATCTTGTCAATAGGACAGAAGCAGAAGTCAGTACTATAGTTTGTTTGCTCCCCACCCCCCAACCCATGGGAATTCCAAATATCAGACAACTCTTCTTGCTCTTGGTCCACCAATGCAGATACTCGGTACATGTCTTGGGCATCTCGGCGTGGTGTAATCGTTAGCAAGCTTGTCTCGCTAGAACAATTACGACTGAGTAGTGAGTTCGATCCTCACTGGATGCTCCATACTTCCAGCCTTGTGCCACATCTAAGCAGCGCTTAGAAAATCACTACTCGGTACATATCTTACATACCATGTGTGGCACCCCACCTTGATCCTGGTCACCAAGCTGAGTAAATAAGGTCTTGAATAACAGTAGTTAGAGTGACATGGCTAGTGGGATCTGAGAGAATCTGTCGTTGAGGTCAAACATTGTGATCTTTATACAGTTATTCCTGAGAAATTGGCTCATGAATTTTATAAGTAATTATTTGTAATTGTCCCTAAAACTTACTTGATATGCTTAGTACTACGTCCTCGCAATATTTTGATGGTAGATCTAAATTATAATAACTAATAAAACAACCTTTCTGATTTATATTCTATAGTTTTGTATTGTAGATTATAATTAGTGTGTTTTGTGATGTAAACACTTTCTTGCTTGTTATTGGTTTATAAAAGTTTTGGAGTTGTGTTTTAATCTTTATGAAGCTATATTTGACTGAAAATATTTCTGATGGGTTAAACTTAATAAGTTTATAATTAACATAATAATTAGTCTTATTGAGTGAACTATGTTGCATATTTAGATATTTTAATGGACATGACAACAAAAACCGTAAAAAATCGCATATAGCCATAGATAAAAAAAAGTTGACCTGATTGAGCAAAACTAATGTGGTTTTTGGATTCAGCGCATCAAAATTGTCCTAAATCAGTTAATACATATTTAGAGAATAAATCTGGTGTTGACCAGTGTAATAAATAAGGGCGTTACAGACTGGAGAGCTAGGTGGCCGGATGGTTGATGTGGTCGCAGAAATTGTTCGCCTGTCATGACTGGGTTCTTCTGCTTGTATGACATGATGTCCTGTTGCCAGATATTGTGTCTTCCAGCAGCCACCCTCTTTACCCAGGGCAGCACTACTTCTTCGAGGCGATGTAGGCTTCCGTTCTGAGTTTGAAGACCTGTGGGAAGATGATTAGAGGCATATTGTCGATATCACTAGTGATCACTTTTAACACCTTCGTAATCATAATTAGACTCGTCCAACTCTTTTTGAATCTTCTGCGTTGTCCTCAGATTGAAAACCAGACACTGACATATTCGTGTTGGAGCATCTGGCACGAATGCAAAACAGTACAGAAAGAGGTCTTCAAAATTCTAGCCCAGGGAATTACCTCATGATGCTTTTTTTTAATCACAGACGGTGCCTTACTGATCCTACTACTCAGTGCAGTCGACTAAAGTCAAATTAAAAATATAAAATGACGACAATTTATCCCTCGCGCCCTGTGTGTGTGTATGTGTAAAATGTTGGTGCAAGAGAAGATAATTCATTCAAATTTATTAGCAAAAAAGCAGGTGGAGGTTGTTCATATCATAAGCTTCTAATAATAATAATTATTATTATTTTACATATTTTTCTTTAATTCTATATATTATATATATATATATATATATATATATATATATATAATTCATGAATCA